CTTAATTGGAAATATATGCTTCCTCCAAAGTCCCTTACTCTGGGAGTAAAAAGCCCAGTTATTGATGCTTTAGAATCATATACTGAGAGAGCTGAAAGAGATCTCTGTGAGTAAAGTATAGCATTTCATTTTACAAATAAGTGCATAGAGCCTAGGGAGGGGAGGTGACTTTTCCAAGATGACATAGACATTGGAGGTGGAACCTGTACCCCAGGCTCCTAACCAGGGATCCTGCATCTTTACTAGGATGTTTTGTTCAGTAAATACTTAACCTATGGATAGATTGAGTGTCATTAGAAGCATTCGTTTAAAATCAGCTCAAAAGGTGGCCATGCAGGTACTACTCACTGAAGAATATCACAAATGCTTTAGCTTCTAAAAAGCTCTAGATTCCCTGAGGATTGGAGATGCCTTTGAATCACCAGTTACATTCTATTTTTATTGGCAGGCTGGATCTAGGAGTTCACCTTTCAGGATCTCTGACCTCTAACACTTTTCCTTCAGTTTTGAAGTTCTTTTTTGAATCAAAGAGGTTTCCTGGAAGCAGCATAGCCAAGTGGGGAGATTATGAGGTCCAGGGATAGGACACCTGAGTTCCAGTCTGGGCCCTTTAGAGTACATGTTATGTAGCCTCAAAAGAATGGCTTACCTTTTCTGGCCCTCAACACTCCCAATAGAAAATTGAGGTTTATCATGTGACTGAATGGTTGTGAGAACTATATCGTATGAGACAGGAAAATGCTTAGGAAGAATGAAATGTTTGTTCAACAACTACTTCTTTGACGTCTGCCATGATCCAGGCTCTTTGTCAGGCACAGGAATACCAGCATGAATAAGATAGCGTCCTAGCTCTTGAGGAATTCATGGTCCAGTGGAGAAGCAGACTCAATAATTGCCACATCTTGTGCTGTAGCCACTTTGCTGGGGGAGCAACAGATGCTATAGGAGCAGAGGAAAAGCACCTACCCCTCATGTGCAGGGAGTGAACGTCCTCCTCTACTTCCTGGAGGAGCTGATATTTAAGTTTAGACAGTTGCAGCAGTGCTACCATTATCACCACTTCACTGTCATCACTGGCTATCATTTGTTCAATGTTTATGTTTTTCTGATAATTCTGCTGGTCCACTTACAGACATGTATGTTCATGTATGCAATCCAGAAAGTCAGAGTGGTTATCCTCTTTATACCTATGATAAAACAGAAGCCTAGAGCTGCATTTCAAAAAAAGAAATTTAAAAAAGATCACACAGCTGGTAAGGAACACAGCCAGAACTTAAACATAACTGTAAATCCCAAAGCCGCTGGTCCCCACAGTATAACCCTGTTGTTCTGTGCAACTCCATGGGGCAAGACTGAGAAGGATGGAGGAAGTGACTGGGAGACACATTCAGCTAAAAAGGAAAAAAGAATTTTCTAACGGAAGATTCAAGAATGAGATAAGCTAACTGGAAAGGTAGTGAGTTTTAGGTCATAGAGGTGTCCTAGAGCAAGCTGGTGACCTGCCCAAGACAGTGCTGAGGACATTCCTATTTGGGGGCAGAGGAGAGGTACACAAGTAAGCACGTCTAAGGATACAGTTGTTTTATGATTACGTCCTGTTGGCAAGGGTAATATACCTTTCTAAATATTTAGATGCTCAGTGAGGGCTGGAAAAGCTCTGTGAGCACAGCAGCCAGACCAATGATTCCCTCTGTTTGTTGAGCAGCCATTGGGAAGTGGACAATGTAGGGGCCTGCCAGAATTTTCTATGAATTATTTCATAGGGCCATCTGATTAGGGATGCCTTCAGCTAAAGTTAACAAGGACTGACTCTAGCCACTTAAGCAAAAAGGGAATTTATACGAAGGGGCTTACAGAATCACGTAAAAATTGGTAGCCAGACTTGAAAACCAGAGCAATTAACTGAGCAGCTCTGAAGAGTCAGAATACTCTGCCTCTGTTCCACAGTAGCACTGCTGCACAGCACTCCCTGCTGCCTCACATCACCCAGTCCCAAGTTTACGTCCTGGGCAGGAGTGGCTGGTGCCTGAGCCCGGATTTCCTATTGCTACCATGGCTGCCGGGGAACAAAGAGGTAGAATCTGGCTGGCTTCCATGCAGGGAGATAGGGCACAATCACGGCCTCATCTTGTAATGATGAGGAGCAAACTCACCCCACCCAACCCCCCATCTAGTAACAGTGTTAGATGCTGAGCATTCCCCCAAAGAACATGGACAAATGCCTCCTACACTTGGGAGGGAACAGAGCATGGACTTGAACTCAGATCTGCCTAATTCCAGACTCAAGGAAGAGAAGAGGTCATCCCTGACCACTGCTGCCCATTCCAGCATCCTATGGACTGTGAAACTATTAGTCCATGCCATTCACATGGGACATAGCATAAAATAATAATACAGTACAATAAAAACAACAATACAGCATTTTTGAGTTACTATTATGTAGCAAAACCTGTGCATTAGCTCATTTAATACTATATGAGCTATATAATACTATAACAATATTATCCTGCATTATAAATTGATATAAACCTGTAAGCTTATCTTCTTCCTCCTGCTGGATTATACATTTCTTGAGGTTAGAGAACATCTCTTATCAATCACTCTATCCCAGCAACACTACCATGGAGCTTGGTGTGTAGAAGGTTCTTAACAAAACTGTGATGAATTGCTATATTTAACTCTTGCCTCATCCTTGTTCCCTAAACCAGTCTCTCCTCCTTAATTTACTCATACATTCTCAAAAGCAGACAGCTTGCTTAAACTGTTTGTTCCCTGGAAGAGCATAGACATTAAAGCTGGACAGTCCTGGGTTTGAAGCCTGCTCCTCCATATGCTGGCCAAATTACCCTGAGCAGGTTTCAGATGAGTGTGGCTGTGAGGCTCTCTCTGTCTGTCCTTAATCACTTTCATGAGTAGCAATACTTCAGATAAGAGTATTTAAGAACTGCATGGATATGTCTGTAGATCAAGGCACTAGTCACAGCAATGAATGTTTCCTTTCTGAAAGACAATCTAGTGTAGTCCGGGGAGAGCAGAGTAAGGAGAGCAATTGATAAGATTTTGGACTCTGAGAATCAGGTTAACCTGAGCTCAAATTCTAACTCCATTACATAGTAGCTCAGTGACCTTAGAGAAAGTTATTTACATTTTCTAAGCCTTTGTTTTCTCCTCTGTAAAATGGTAATACAGGGCTTGTATGAGATAAAAGCGAAAATGAAATGAGATAATTCGTGTAAAGTCACATAGTAAGCACTTCTTAAATGTTAACTACTGCTGCACTTACCACTATAAGCTCAGAAAGAAAAGATGGCAGGAACTACATCAAAGGCTAACAGGAGTTATATTTGAGTGACAGGAAGGTGATGTTACTTTTTTTCTTTTTTGCTTTCTATGTTGAGGACCATTTTTCATTTGTAATAGTGATTTTATAGTCAGTCAATCCTCTTACCAAGCAATTCGACTTCTGGAAACTGTTCTAAGAAAAAAATTCTGAAATGTGGAGAAAACTTTAGGGATTAGAGTATTCATCAGTGCATTTTGAAAATAGTGCAGCATTGAAAACAAAATAAATGTGCCACAGTGGGGAAATGGCTTAATGAATTATGGGGGTTCATATAATGGGATAATATGTCATATTATAACACTATTACAATGCTAGTTACAAAGAGTTTACTAACAAAGAAAAATGCTCATGTTGTAATGGCAAATGAAAACGGGACCCCTTTGCAAGTTCAAGGTCAGGAGGTAACTTGCTGGCCTAGAAGGTGAGCATCAGTGATCCCCTCTGTTTAAAGCACAGAGAATGGTTGATATCTAGGCATCACTGCTCTTATGGAAATCCTGGAACACACAGAACATTTCTTTGTGCGCTCCTCTCCACTGAGGATGTGGGGTAGGAAGAGTGCAGTCCATGATGAAAGAGGTTCTTGAAAAGCTTGTGGTCCATTTGTGGAAGCTCCTTCTCTACTTGTAGCTGGGGGAAATTTAGGCCTTGAGAGAACAAGGGACTTGCCCAGGGTCACATAGTACACCATCAGCAGAGCAGGGGACCTGAACTCAGTGATATCTCCTCTGCATACCCTGGGGGCATTATCCCACACTCACGAGGGATGGACTTGCCAGAGAGGCTAGGCAAGACGCTAGTGAAAATCTGAATGTGGAGCAAAAGGATGTTCCTGGAAGTTTCCACATTATTCTCCTCTGGTTCTCACTGAGACAAAAGTAGCATAGTGATAAGAAATGGGGTTCTCCCAGTCCCTCCAGGGGCATTGAGGAAAGAGACATTTGAAAAGAGAAGGCTTATGCCCTGGTCTCCTCAAATCCACACATGCAACTGGCTCTCAGGCTCAGCAAAGGAATGGAAAGAACATAACCCTATGTAACTGGAGAACTTGAATCCAAGTCCAAGTCTAAAATTTCTGGAAATCTCCAGTCTTCTGCTGTACACTGTCATGGGAGGTGAGGTGGGAGGAGACAAGAAGAAGACAAGAAGACCAGGTAAAATATGATTACAATTCTCTGGGCCTTGGCCCACACTTAAGGTGATACCAGAGGAAGTGATAAAAAGGTGTTGGGTTATGGTGTATTTTGAAGGTAGAGACAATGGATTAGCTATAGGTGTGAGCAAAGAGGCATAATGGGAACACCAGTAGTTTTGGCCTGAGCATTTTTCTCAGCTGCAGTGTGGAGATGTGCATATGTGTCTATGGGTCATGTGTCTATGGATGCTGACATGAGGCTACAAAGACAGAAATACTTTGGAATCTCTCTGTGACTCAGTTTCTTCCTCTGTAAAGTGGGAATTGCAATAGTAGTGACCTCACAGGGTTGTTGATGGCACTGAGTGGATTAACTCATATAAAGTACTTAGAACTGTCTCTAGAAAATGATAAATGCTAGGTAAGTGACATAATCACTGCTCCTACTCCTAAGCATATTTTGACAAGTGAGAAGCTCAGCTTGTCCTGTCTATATTGACTCTTACTTTGGGTACTGCCTAGGTGTTCTCTGATGGGGTTTGATCTGAATCGTCACTGGCTGGATCCCTCTCCATGGGTCCACCCTACCCTGCATGGAGTGAAACAACTCATCGTCCAGATGTACAATGACCCAGTAAGTAACTGAATGCCCTCCACAGCTGCTGATCTATGGCTTGATCTGGGAAAGGGAAGCGTTGTATTGGGAAAGTCCACTAGAAGTTGCAAATTAGGAATACATAGCTAAAACCAGGGAGGCACTAGGCCTGCTCTTCTCTGAGTCCAACAGACCCAAGGACCTTCTCCCAATCTCTTTTCCTGCAACCTCTTACAAATAGTGGATTCAGTTGTGGAGGCCTGGTGGGTTAAAGGAAATATATTGGAGTGTATCCATATTTGTCAAGGATCTTTGGTTACAAGCTAAAGAAATACAACTTGAATTAGTATAAGCAAAGTAGAGAATGTATTAGAAGAATACCAAGGGCATGTCATGTAATCGAAGACTGTAAACTCTCTTCTTCTACACATTGGGAACATGACTGGTGAGTGTCACATCCAAAGGTTCTCAACACTACAGTCACTTATGCTCATTTTCCAGTTCCAGTTCCAAAAGGATTGTGATTGACCTAGTTGGGAGGACGTGCCCACTTCTGGGCAAGTCAGTTCTGGCTCAGGAGAAAGAATATGCAAGGACAAGGCAGCCTCTCTGGAACCACATGGTTGGAGTCGGAGGGTGGGTTGGTACCTGTTTTCAGAAAAGAGGGCCTACCATTTCAGAAGAAAGAAGGGGACATAGGCAGATAGAGCAATGGGTGTCCACACCAAGTTTGCTCCCTGGGGCAAGTTCTTGTTTGTAAAAAATAGGAGAAGACAGCAGAGTTTCATAGCTTAGAGAAATGAAGCAAACTACAGTATTCTGTCTTAAAGAACTATCGCAGAATGGGTGGGACAGACCTTTTTTTCAGGTTGGGGATATGGGAAGAGGTAGAGAAATAGAACTTTTTAATGACTATAGCTGCTTGAGAATGGAGTGTGTGTGTGTGAGCTGTGAGCTTTGCTTTACTAAAAGTGTTCAACTTTTAGTCCAAAAGGATGCACAGAGGAGACTCAACTGTTGGAAGACATTCTAGTGAAATTCCATTTGAGTCCCTTCCAACTTCAGTGACTGATTTTTATGGCCCATGACTGCTGTCAGGTGAGAGATGGTGATTGCTAAGACAACAAAGGTCACACAGTTGGGGTACTTCAGAGAGGCACCAATGTAACCCATTCTGCTTACCCTCATTGAGGATCCCAGTGAAAATTTCCTGAATTAAAGAGCAACACAGGTATTAATCAGATTAAGCATTTGTGCTTAAAAACAAATGCATATATTAGAGCAGGGATTAATGAAAAAGTCAGTCCTGAGGTGCAATGTAATTTTCTTGGCTATGAAACTCAACTGTTATCTTGGTCCTCCTATGTGAATGTTGCTTTCCTAGGTCCTTTCACAGTATACCTTTTGTGTCACGGCTTGCATAACCATAACTCTAGGATATTTGCCTCCTTCCCCAGCTCATCCTTCTTTGTCTATAAAAGAAGGTGTGAACTGTGCTCACCAAATCCATATGCAGAGATAGAATGATTATGGTTTGCTGCCTTTCTCTAAGCTTTGAAACCCCACTGTCTTCTAGTTCTTACAGACACGAACTTGCCCCTGACCTCTCAATGTCATCCTGATCAGCTTTCCTTGCAGAGAGAAGCTGCTTCTGATTTTCTCAGGAAGTATCTGTAGTCTGCAGAATTCTGCTCTCCCAGGCTTCTGTGTTGACTGCAGTTTCCCTGATAGAATCGCAGTACTTCCTTCTCAAGGAGAACAAACTCCTACATTTTTTTTCCTGATTTGGCTGATAATAGATATTCAATAACTGCATGTTGAGTTAAATTGGATTGAACACAGAAAACCCTATTATGCCAAATGCAATATGGCTTATAGATGCAAAACAATTATTCCCAGGTGGGATGGTGAGGCACAGTGAAAAACCCAAAAAAACATAAAAATGACATTGGACAGAGTGGAAACCATTGAACAAAGTGGTATTTTAGATAAATCCCCAAAGAGAGAAATGGGAGTTTGGGGGCAGCCTGGGGGAGGAACACAAGGGAAGTAGGTTAGGGTTGCTACAGAGGAAAAGGCTTCAGCATGCCATTGCTGTCATTAATTATTGATTTACTCACAAACAACTGGGCGCTTGTTCATGCTGCAGAACACAGATCCAGCCGGAGTGAGTTACAGAGATGTTAGGAAATGATTTGCGTCATGAATACATTGATCATCAGCTGGTTAGATCTTAGTAAGTACATCTTGGGCGCTGAGTTAGTTGTATAAGCCATTTTCTTACTGAAAGGCTACTCATTTATGCCTCAAGCAAGGGCGTGGAGCACTAATATAGGAGTCAAGCTGGCCTGGAAGAGGATCCCAGCTCCCTTGGTTCCTTCCTCTCTTCCCCACTCTCTCTTTCCTCACTCAATCTTTTACTCCACTTTTTCCTTTCTTCTTTACACAAATATTTATTTATATATGGGTTTTCTATGTGCACTGAGGTTCTAGTAGTGAAAAAGAAAAACCCCAACTCTTGCAATACAGTGGGGAAATAGACTTTAAACAAGTAAATACTGATAAATATATATTTATAAGATGTGTCAGGGGCTACCAAGAACAAAAGCACAAAGTATGACTTCTAGGTAGAATGGTCATAAGTCTTGGCTTTCCTGGGGCAGTTCTGGTTTATACCTGTTGTCCTGGAGTATCTTTTAACAACGTCCTCTTTTCACTCTCAAAACTGTTCTGATTTGGATGATAAATTATACACTCTCTCTAGTTAAAAATGATATGAGGCCACACGCGGTGGCTCACGCCTATAATCCCAGCACTTTGGGAAGCCGAGGCAGGCGGATCACCTGAGGTCAGGAGTTCAAGACCAGCCTGACCAACATGGCAAAACCTGGTCTTTACTAAAAACACACAAAAAAATTAGCCAGGTGTGGTGGCACATGCCTGTAATCCCAGCTATTCGGGGGGCTAAGGCAGGAGAATTGCCTAAACCTGGGAGACAGAGGTTGCAGTGCAACATCGTGCCACTGTACTCCAGCCTGAGTGACAGATCAAGACTCCGTCTCAAAAAACAATAATAATAATAATAATGATAATAATAATGCAAAAACACCTAGCACAGTGCTGGTGTGTAGCAGACCCTCAACAACCATTACCTGGATCTGATTTAAATTCACATTTGACTTCAGACATCTTTGTGCCCAGTAGCAAACACTGCAGTGCCCTGAGGCATCTGCCTTAACAGCTTTAAGTGCACTTCTGCTCCTGAACTTCAGTATCACATACATAGTCACTCAACTCTGAACTATCTGAACTGCCAGGACAACTTCTGAGCTTGTTTCTAAATGCACAGCCTCACTCCTCCTGTCCAGATTGCCTTCTGCCCACAGAATCAACAAGCAGAGAATCAGCAAGACCCTCCAACATCAACTGTCATTCCTTCAGGCCCTGTGCTGGGTGCCGAGGAGTTCGCAGCCTGGTGGAGACAGACATTTACAGACAGTTATTCTAGATGCATTTATAGAGTGAAGCACAGGGGTTGTGGGAGCCCAACCCAGGAGGCAACACCTGAGCTGATACATGAGGGATGCTCAGGTCAGGGAGGACTTTCCAGGCAGAGGAAACAGCATGTGCACCTGCCCTGAGAGGGTGGGTGGCTTACTCAGGAGATTGGAAGTCATTCAGTGTGGCTGGTACCAGGGGCAGACAGAAGGGGTAGTTACGACACAGGGAGCAATCTGGACTTTATTTTCATGGGAATAGGCAGCCACTGAGGACTTTAAGCAGGGAATTGACAAATTAGGTTTGCATTTCAGAGAGACCCCTCTGGTGCCTGTTAGAAAAATAGATTTGGATGGTGCCAAACTAGAGACTGTGAGACCATTACAGCTTGCTGCTGTGGAGTTGAAAAGGAACAAGAGGAGTCTAGCGGTAATAAGGAGCCAGACCTAAGGGACATGGTGACTGTGGCTGATGGGAGGGGAAGGAGTCTTGCATGATCCCTATGGTTTTCACTTGGGTAGCCGAGTAGTGTGGCACTTTGCCTGAGATGGGAACCCAGGAGGAACAGTTAGTAAGGGCCAAGTGATGCATTCATCTTTAGAGGTGCTCAGTGTACAGTAGACCTGAAGTGATATGTCTGGCCTGCACTGGAAGGCTTCTGGAATGAGCCCTTCTGTGTGCTTCTCACCTGGCAGCAGGAGCCTACTGTCCTTGTATTAGTGATGACATTGACTTCAAAGGCTGCTTTCCTAGCCCTGTGCTCACTAAAATCTTACCCCTCTTGGGGACATTGGGTATTAAATGATGATCTTGAAAACAAAGTGTTTAAACAGGAGGACTGCCCTGGACCTGAGATATAAAGTGTTTCATGCTCCACTCCCATGATAGTTCCCTGTGGACATTGTGGCCTGGCACCTGTTTGCCAGTTGTGATTGATTGTCCCCCAGGGAAAGGGTCTGGTTAACTCATCTCAGGGTCTCTGGTGTCCAGCAGAGACTGGACACCAGACGCTGAGCAAATGATGAAGCGAACCGAGAGCTTCTGTGACTTGGTTTTAGAAGACTTTCCTGATAAAAGGAAGAATTGAACCACAGACCCCTCCCCAATCTTCTCTCTCCCTCAGAATATCCCCTGATCCCACTGCCACCATCACTGTGCCCTCCTTTAATGAAGGCTCTGATCTGGTGACAGAGGTTTCCCTGCAACCTGCTGAGATTGTCCAGCACTCCCAGGGATAGAACCTGAGATGGCATCACCCACTCCCATTCCTATGAGAGAGGATTCTGATCATCTTCACATACTTGCTTCAGCCCTGGACTCAGTATCTACCCCATTTTACCCCCCGCCCCCCCTCCCCCCATTGAAATTAGCTCTCTATGGCCATCAAGGGCTCACTCAGATCCCAGATCCCTTGTCTTCCCAGTCCCTAACCTGTCCTCACCATCTAACCATATCTTGTTTGGGAGCTGCGCTGAGACATTTTGATATCTTTAGTGGTAGTAAAGACCAGGAAGCCAGTTCTAACTCTGCTGTAATCCAGG